TTATTTATTTTGTTTTGTTTCTTCTCTCCCTTTGTTAATTCTTAGAAAAATGTTGAATGTACAGCATTTTTACACATTAAGTTTGACAGTCCTCTCATATGGGCGTGTGGCCCGCGATTGTGGGTCTCACCCCCCATGTGAGAGGGCTGTCAAAATATATGTGTAAAAAGACTGTAAATGTAGCATTTCTCTAATTCTTATTCTAATTTTTAAGCAGTCCTCCTTGATAATCACTGTTAGGTGGTTTTTCTTAAATTTCTTGAGTTGGAGAGGTTCTTGATTTCAAATTAAAGTTAACAAACCAACCTAAACTTCCCTCTTCCGCCAACCTCCGCCAGTTCTTGATCCCCCTGTCACCGGATTCCTTGAAAACACACTAAGAGTCTGTTTGATAGACAAATGTGGAAATGAATTCTAATTTCATGTTAGTTGGAAAATAAAAACCTACCAAATTCATAAGAATTCGTTTTCCATCAAAACAAAGAAAATGCAGCTTAAAGTCATTGTACTTTGGAATTCGATTTCCATTTCCACGTTGCAATCAAACGGCTAAAATGAAATTTATTTTCATCGGATGTGACCTTTTTCATGAAATTTGTTGCTGTCAAACGGACCCTAAGAGAACTCCCTTTAAATTTACCACTTGTAAAATCAAGATCAACATAAATAATCAAAATCAAATTCTTGTCTTGGCTAGAAGATAGTGGTTGAATAAAAATAGAGAATGGGAGAAGACAACGAAATAATAGTAGCAAGAACATTGTAATCAAAATAATCGTTGTCCTCAAACTATATATGCCCCTTCTAGACTTATATGAGTGATTAAAGGGATATAACGGCGAATAGTTTGTAGAATCTAAACAAGCCTTTAAAACTTGTGGTTTCTTCCAAAAAAACTTGAAAAATACTAAAAGTTTGAATATGTAAATGAACTGGATTAAAGGCACTATAATATAGTTTTTGATTGATGATTTTATGTGTTTATAATTGAAATCACTCCGCACGAAATAGTGCCAAAGGTTTATGAAAGGTTGAATTTTTTCATGAAAAATCACTAAGGTCGTGTTTGATAGGTCACATTTTTCGGGGAAGTAGGAAAATATTTTCTATTTTTCACTTTTTTGACTGTTTGATAGGCGAAATTTTCC